GTTCGATATATTCTCTGTTACGTTATAGCCTGCGTTAGCTAATCTTGGTAACTACTACGATATGTGTTACGCTTACGGGAATGTTCCTTAAGAGCTTTTTAAAGTAAACACAAAGTGGCTTATATTTAAAGAAGACTAGGTTATGTTTTTTAAGAAGTTGTTTAATGATTAAACTATCGTCGGGTGGTCCGACGCGTAGTATAACATCGTAACCGTAATACTATGCTCTAGTAACTCGTAACCTCGATTTAGAGATAATGTTATAATAAAAGTTATTTATAATACTAACATTATAAAGTGTTAGGTCTCCCGTCTCTTCTCCCCTAGGTCCTTTTAGCACGTTTCTAAAGATTCGCGTGCCGTGACCCCTAATTAGGATAGAGCTCGTGCCTACTTCAATATACTGGTTTCCCTTCGAGCTTCTAAACGTGCCTAGCACGAGTAGCCGCTTATCGTTCACCACATGTACTGCTCCGTAGTTATCCATTAAAGTAGAGTCCGCGAACGGGTGACGGCTAAAGGCCCTAGTAGAGTAAATGCCATATATCTCGTTGTTTATTTCCATAATAGATAGATCAATGGTCACAACGGTTAAATTCCCTTGGTAAGAGAATTTTAGTACATTAGTGGAATCGTTAGATGGTTATAATCTTAGGGTATTTAAAGAGGAGCTTTCGGAGCTTGCCGTATTAAGCTAGGATCCGCGTGCGATCCACCCTTTCTTTTCGATAACGCCCTTAAGATCCTTAAATGATTTCCGCTTTAATCTCTTCTTAATATCCTTGATTTATTAATCTGTTAATAGCTTAACTTTAAAACTCAGTTTTCCGGTTAATGCGAGTTCTAAGGTTTTATATTCCTTTACTATCCACTTATAACGCTAAGGCGAGATAGCTTAATAAGGGCAGTCGTGAAAAGGCCTCGAATCTTAATTACTTACTCGTAAGGAGCTAGGTTTTCCTCTGTTCCCGGTGCTTGGTTGTTCGCCGCCCATGGTAGTAAAGACACTCGGCTTCGACTAGTATTCGTGTTCATTTAGATAAGCGGAGAAAGCCTTGCCATACTAGTATAAAGGCCGTTGTTCTTCCCCTTAGGTCTCTCGGTCGGTTATCGTAAAGAGTGCGTTTAAAGCCCATGCTAGTACGATCCTTTGCTTTATAACGTGTAGAAAATCTTTCATAACGAGGAGTCTTGTAATTTCGCTTAAGCCGTAGTTCGTAGCCGTAGTATACAACCCTAACCACTTGTTAACCCAGAGTCTGCCGTCCTAAGCTCGGGAAGCCGTAGCTAGGTGCGCTTTATAATCGCGTCGGACTTGTTCTAAAGCGCTTATCTCTATAAGACTAAGCTATTCCTTAAGCAATTAAATAACTCTTCGAAAGCTAAAGTCATTTTCCGATAAAGCTCTAGTCTATATTAGACTAAGCATTATTAGCGTAATGGTTTTAGTAATCCATTTGTATATAATCCGCTCGGCTTAAGAGATTTCCGACGTTAATATACTCCCAGTCTTTAGTTCCGTAAGGAGCTCCCCTTATAATAAGGGAGCATCTAGTGGTGGAAGTATAAGTGTATTCGGAAGGGGACCCCGAGTTTATATGCTCGAGGCTGCCTAGGCCGTCATCTCTTCGTAATAAATCCGAGTTTTCTTAAGCAGGATGTACATCCGCTGCTCTTATAATAACGGTGCCGGTGCTTTCGGGGCATCTAGGTCAAGTCTGTCCCAGATTCCGAGCATCGATACCTGGTATCGAAGTACATTATACTAGTCGGCGAAATCAGATCGTTAGACCAGCTTAACATCGTATCGGAGGCCGTAGTCGTTATCATCGGAAGAAACCATTTTAACGGACGGGTGGATGGAGTACTGCTTGGCCGAGAGCTTCGTATTCCTATTTGCAATCTTTTAGGAGCTAGTAGCTAAGATTTGCAAGCTCAGTCGAGGGTTCCTTTAGCACAGTGGAAGTTAAAGAGGGCTCATAACTATAACAGTTTCTACAATTAATATAGAGGACTGTTATAGTAAAGGTCTAGTGTAATGCACTAAAAGGAAGAGCCTAAATCTACTAGAGCATAAGATAGCGAATACGGTGCTCGCCTAAGCATGGGATCGTAGGTGTAACGCTCTAGGCGTGAAATGATAGTATAAGTACTGTCAAGTAGTATATAGAAGTCTAAGAGTACAAAAGAGAAATCGGTGTACAGAAAGTGGGCATATACCCACTAGCCTAGTCACGTGATCACCACTTCCCAAGTTCGGTGATCCGCAAGCTCGTCGCCTTGGTGTACGGAGTGCTCTCCGTACGCTGTGGACATCTATAGTCATCCATATTGCCACAACTACTTATTAAATTGTGGAGATAGTTAGAGTGCTAATTTCGTGGTGTATAATACCGAAGTTCAAAAGTGTCGCGATGTTAAAGATGGAAATAAACTAGCTCGAAAGTGGCCATTTACGATAGATTCTCATTTAGGGTATAAATCCACACTAACCACTTCTAACCCTACTAGCGCAATACTATCCGGTCCTAACTTCTATGTGCCAGAATTGACTATTCCAGAAACTGTATAACAATACTACGTTTTGGTTAGTTGTGCTTGCTAGCCTAAAACGCTTTGTGGGCCTGGCCATCGGTCCGCTCTTTAATCTGTCCCCGGTTATCGAACCCATGTCATTTTGAGCCGCGTGGAACCTGTCGCCATTTTTAGCACCACCAAATTGGGGATGGTGTTAGCGACTTGTCGGTCGCGTCAAATGCGCGCAATTGCATGACCACTTTTCACCATTACACAGCAGCACCCTCAGCCCAACGTCGAACGAACGAAAAGTACGAAACCAACGAAGCGGACGCAGGCGCATATAGTCACAACGACATCTAGTTGCTTGCATTACTGAGGGAGCACAAATGTTATCGCTATTGATCTGGCCAACCACATGCGGCACCCATTTGAGTTCTACAGAATGATGTTGAACAAAAACACATGGAGCTTGCGAAAGACAGATTATGGGCATTTCAATTGTATGCGCTATGTAGATATTCTATGTAGGCCATGGACCAAGATCCAGGAATTGCGTCTCTGCATCGGCTCTGCTCCGTTTGGAGCAGGTTCGTAGCCGGCACCACGTACATGTTGCAGAATCCGTCTTCGCCGACCTCATCCCAGCGATTATGTCCGGGGGAAGCGGGTGGTAACGCTGGCCTGCCACAGCGAAGCTCATCCCAGCAATTATGTCCGGGGGAAGCGGTTGGTGGCACTGACCTGCCACAGCGAAGTTCGTCCCATCACCTGTAGGCTCCCGGGACACTTCCAGATGGCATCGTCTGCAGGCTCCGAGGCACTTTCAGACGGCATCGCTTGTGGGCCCGAAAGCACTTCACCAAACGGCTCTCACTTGCTAGTTACCACGAAGGGCACCCGCAAGGAACTTCACCTGCTAGGCTCGAAGCACTTTTCCAGGTGGGGACCATCTGACAGGCTCGAAAGAAACTGCCAGATGACACATCCAGACTAGTCAAAGTCGCGGACGGCTTCGCTCGCAGGACCCGAAGATGCTGGCTAGGAACGTCACGTGTAGTCTCCAGGACTTCCACGTGGGGTCATCCGTAGGCTCCGAGAACCTGCAGACGGCACAAGTTGCCATCGCGAAGCGACAACAGAAGGCTTCACTCGCAGGACCCGAAGATGCTGGCGAGGAACATCACGTGTAGTCTCCAGGAATTCCACGTGGAGTTCATCTGCAAGCCTATGGGAGGGCTTGCAAACGTCACAAACCGTCATCGCGAAGCGACAGCAGAAGGCTTTCACCAGTCAAATCCGAAGATGCTGGCGAGGAACTTCACGTGCAGTGTCGAAACACTGACAGGTGGGGGTCATTTGTAAGCTCGAAGAACTTGCAGATGGAACACCCGAAGGTGATGAAGAAGGAAGAAAAGAAATTGAACTCGACGAGAAGAGAGACGGGCTTGTGTTAGTTTCTTAGAGTCTTTACAAGCCGCACCCAGTCCGCTCGAGTTGACGCCAGCCAAATACGTTTCGACGGACAATACTCAATTACCGATGTCGTGCAATGCCACACCAAGTTACGCAGCAGCCGTAGAGACGCCAAAAGAGGATTATATATATGAGAAGAGCTTGTTAGCCTTCGTAGAGTCCTATGGAAATACTGGGGAGGTCGTTACATAGAGTTTGAAGAGAACAGCCGAAGATGAGTCGGACAGAGATGCCAAGCGACAGGCTCGGACGGAGACTTGGCCAACAATGAGCGAGTCTTAATAATTGGAGAAGATTTGGTAACATAAGAGCGATCTTCACTATAGTTACTCCTTCATGCATGGTGATGTAGATTGAGACGAATCGAGGAAATGAATTAAAATCGACATCGTATGCAAATCCCTTATCGTCCATCGGTGTGATGGTACGCAAATGAACGGGATAGCCATATCATCGCCGCTATAACACTTTCACATGATTACCCCCTATACCTTCGTTTTCACTTTTCTCTTTCCTTTTCTTTTTAAATCGTCCCTTTCTTTCTTCCTTTATTATCCGTGTATCGGTTGAGCCGCCTGTTCAAAAAAGTTTATACCATACACTACCCTCTGAAACTTGGCCGAAAGATTCTCTCATTCCTTATATTGTAGCAATACAGTAAAGGTTGGTGTGCGTCCCAGTTATTGCCGACGCATGAGATTCCCGAGGGGAGATTTCTTTTTCTTTTCAGATTTCAATCTGGGGGTGAGGAAAGACCATACGTCTCTCTGAGCTGTCCAACAAGTAATCTTCCTCCTGTGAATATGTGCCCGGAGAAGAGGCTCACATTCTTGATGGAACCAATGACAGGTCCGAATCAAACCGAAACAGCAAGACAAAACATCGACCCCTGAAAACAAAGCATTATGTAAACGTATCAACACAGCCTCCTGTCACACTGCACAATCCACACTCAAATAAAGCACAAAAAGCCTTGACTTGAGCTCGCAGTACTCGTCATATAAGACAGGCAATTGAAAATCATATCGACCACATACAGGTCGCCGGGCCGACTTGTCGGCTAATAAGAGGGCTAGATGATCATCTATTGTATCTTGTTTAGCCCACGGATTGACTATCGAATATAGTAGCAATGCATAAAAGTTATAAATGGGTGTTGCCGCTGTGCCTCTAACATCCGCCTTTTCGCATCTGTAGGTCAGATCCGTCGCCCCTTACAAACTCGGACCACGGTCTGGGCCGTTGAGACAAGTTTGCATATAGGCATCCACGTATGTTACATCGTGGTTGTCCGAGGTTAAACCCGTGAAGAGACCATGGTTATATGTAATGCACGAACAGCGCTGAACACAGGGAGTGATACCTTGATCATGTTCTTCTCGTCGGACTAGGGTATCATGCTCAATCCCCATCCCTACCCATTAAAGCCTACAGCCTATTGACCCCTGCCTATTCCTATCCCTATTTCTCTTCCATCTCTTGGTCCTATTCCATCTCCTGGTCCTGTTCCATTCCCTGGTCCTATTCCTCTTCCTCTGCCTCCTCCTCTTCCAAACGGAAAGTGGGGACGGATGAGTGACGCGAGATATTCCTTGACCTTCTTCCTTGACTCGTCCCTGAGCTCGGGTGGGGTCTTGCCTGAAGCGTTTCGCATCTCCATGAGGTTTCCACCATGACTGGTTGCGGCCTCCGCAATAAGCTGCATCACCTCGTCTTGCATCTTTGCTGCCTGTTGAAAGGTCAGATCTTCGTTCCTTAACGAAGGAGTCATGACGGCGGCTACGTGTAGCGGCGTGTCTCCCGCCTTGTTGAGCACATCGGGCCTTGCGCCGTGCCGTAACAGGGCCCGCGCCGCAACGAGCTTTGGGTAGGTGCCCACAGCGACGTGAAGCGCCGTGTTTCCCGAGTTGTCGGCGTCGTCTATCGATGCGCTATGGCTCAGAAACAACCCGACGAGCGCGGCCTCGGCACACTGGTCATCGTCGGTGACGGGAAACTGTCTTGCTAGGGCGTGCAGAGCGGTCCCGCCGTCAGACGTCTTCGAAGCGGGTCTGGCGCCTTGCTCGACTAGCATTCTGGCTACGCGAGCGCGCAGCGCTTGTCGAGTCGGTTTGTGATGTATTAAAAAGTCGGAGAGCATCGCAGATTGTAGCGCTCTCGTGTCAACATCGTTAGCATTGCAAGAGCGTAGCAGGGCCGAAAAGGTGGCGACGCCTTGGGGCAGAATCTGGTCTGCTGGCAGCATAAAGTCGCATCCCCTTGTTGCAATGTGCAAGGTTGAATGCCCCCAAGCGTCTTGGCATTTGAGCATCTTCTTGAACTCGACGATCCCATATCTGTCGCACAAGACGCCGATCGCCGTCGCGTTGAAGTAACGGGCAGCGACATGTAACGGTGTATAAAGGCATGTATTGAACGGCGTATATAGGGGTTTATCGCTCCGCGGTGGCGTCAATCGTAGATGGATATCTGCACCCCCATCAAGTAGGCGCTGTATCGTCGCAGCGCCGGCCCTACGCATGGCCAGAGATAGAACAGTATCCGTGATGCAGGTAATGACCTCGCCGTCAGGCGTCACATCGTACTCCGGACTCTCAGGGATTTCCCCATCCATGTTGTCTTCGCACCACCGTATCCGACGTTTGAGTTCGTGGATCTGGCCATCATAATGCATGAATTGGCGCTCCCGTACGTGGTCGGCGGGTGCGCCTTTGTCAAGTAGCAGTGTCATGATCTCTTCGCATCGGCTGGTATAGCTGGCAACATCAAGTCCGCCATGGTACTTCTGATACTTGGATCGATCAGTCATTGCATCCGCAGCCGCCAGCAACGGTGTCCAGCCGTCGCCATCACGGAACGCCAGGTCGCCAGCCACATCGTGCGAGGCATCGAGGAGATATCGCACCGTCTCCAACTGACCGTGGTGACACGCGAGGTTCAGCAAACCATACTCCTTGGCGCCCCAGCGGAAGTCTTGCTCAGGATGTCTAGTCTCGTAGTGCCGAAGAGAACGAAGGACCTTGGTAGCTCCCCAAGTTGCTGCATACTCGAAGGCATCGGGAAAGAAAATGCCGTGGTGGTCCTGGCATGCGCCGGGGCCCTTGAGGCGGTAGGGATGCATGCTGAGATACTCGGCCAGGGCGTCCAGATCATCGCGCCTTATGATCATAGACAGCGGTGTATCCCACGGGTCGGGAGGCTCCTCCGTCTGAAAGACATCGTACGGCGGTGCGTTCAGCAACGGCATGAAGGCGGGCGGACCTTCCATGGAGTAGGACGCGAGTCGCCAACAGCGATGGCGACGGCCTTGGACGAGATGTTGCGCAAACTTATGTGACCAGTGTCGAACGACAACCACAGTGGAAGAGCAGGGTACGAAAGCCTTTACACATGGTTTGTTTGACCTGGTAATTGAACGTACTGAATACATATAGTGGGAGTGGTTGAGGAGAGGGGACTGCCAAGTACTTATAAGCAAGTACTAGACTTTACTGCCTTAAGACAGGTGCTACGTACTTTTCTGCTCAGCCCCACCAGCCCACACCAACCCGCCCCTAGGGTAAGACCCTGGATCCTAACTAGAGCCTACCTTAGACTAGAACCTGCGACGTAGAACCCTGGCAGAGCACCTGGACTATTGAAATTGGGCTACTGAAGTACTTCGAGATCCTGAACTATGCACCGCCTGATGCAGTTGACCAAGGGGCTTACCTTACCTTGGCAACTAAGCTATGCCTACCCGATCATGACTATTTCACTGCATCTTGTGTTTATAAAAAGATTTAGGAAACATTATAAGAGACTTGGGAAACATTTCAAGAGATCTAGGAAAATTGCCGCTTCTTTTATTATTAATTTACATGGTAGGAAATCTTTATGCATCCGCGTTGGACAAGTCAGGAGGTGTGGTGGTTCCGTCAGGCATCCAGTTGTAATCAAAGGCTCCCCATTGGGGTTGAAACATTGCACCATCTCCCGCAATTTGTTGGTAAAGGACGATCCCATTGTCATCAGTAACATTCGTACCATCAGTCCTGGCGGTGATATTCCATACATATTGTAGGTTACCAATTTGAAACATATTCGTGTTATAGAGGTAAGTGCCCTATATATTAAAAAATATTAATGCCTGACGTTTCTACTAAAAAGGGTTTGGGAAATGGCAAAATGCAAAAACAGGTTGGGGTAAAATTGGGACTTACGAAACTCTGTATCAATTCCTCGTATCCCGGTTGACGTGGGAATCCTATAAGGTCGCTGAGTTAGTTTCCTTCTTTATACGGCGTCTCGAATCTCGGCCTCAACGATAAGGTAAGGTGGGGTGCAGAAGAAACAAAAACAGACTAAAGAAGCGTCGGAGAGATGGGAAGGGATTATATACCATTAGTCGCCGGCGCATCGCCGGAAGAAAGGCCTGATCCAGGGTACCATCGCGAGGTGGCTGTCGGGCAATTTAGAATCGACGATCGCGCGTTATAGTTAGTCATTACGCTATTGGTTGTACCGCCGTAATTATTCGTCCTCCTGTATTCGGCCCTGTAATCAGGTGTAACTCCAGCGGAGACTCTCCCTGGTCGTCTGATCTCCTGGCTATGATACACACGGCCATAATTGATTCCCAAATACACCTGGCCGTTGTAGTTGATGAACGTCTGGGAATCGAGTGGGATATGAAAGTGAGCCACAATCCAGCGGTCGCGCTGGATCGTGTGGGTTGTGTCCGAGTATGCAGTTTGAATAACCGTGGATGGCGCGGTTCCGGGCGTGCCACCGATCCAAAAGGCTACTTCAAGCTCTACCTCCGTCCCCGAGGTTGTTCCGGCAGTGTGAAGCCAACGAAGGTAATGAATGCTGAGATCACCTGCGATGGCACCATTCATGGCCGCTGAAACCGTAGGCACCGTGTTTTGAGAGGCACGAAGGTTCATACTGTTAGCAGCTAGTCTGCGGCGCCAAAGTCCTGCATAAGTCGAGTTTGCCGTGGTATCGAACCGAACCTCCTCACTGATAGATCTCTTGGACACTATGGAGCTAGCATCATCACTGTTAATACATACCGCGGTGGCGCCCGCATAGGATTCAAGACCGTATGCTGAGTCCTCCAGATCGCACATCATATCGGCAAGGAACCACTCAGTATCGTCGACTGGAGAGGCTGTATAGCCGTCGGGGTACATGACGTCGTATATAAGACCGAAATCAGCCGCTTCATCACCGAGGTAGGCGCTGATACGAGTGTCCCAGATTTCCTCAATGTCAGTACGCGTGTATTTGGCCGCAAATAGGGCGTACATCATCGGCAACAGCACCTCAAGGGTCGATGTCTGGTCGGTAGCTCGCTCCCGAAGAAGCTGTAGAAGGCTGTCCCGCTTCGTCACCGTGACCGGATCCGTGTCACTGTACTGTGCGGCCCACTCGCCGGGGCAGATGGGGTTGTTTAGCCATTGCTCAAGGTAGGCATCGAACAGTTCAGCCGTCTCGTCCTGGTAGATAATGGCAACATCACGCGGATCGACGTCGCTGGTGGTGTCGTCCGTCGACCCAGCACAGCAGTAAGCCTCGGCACCCCAAGCGCAGTCCTCCGTCTCTGACGGCGCGTATGCACCTACAAACTGCGTGGCGAATCGCATCGTGTCACTGGGACACGCATTTGAGTATATCCTCTCCGAAAGATCTTGCACATCTGGATCCTCGTGGCCATACCAGTCGCAGTTGGTAAACGGTTCAGGGACAGTCTCTGCTTGGCAACAGTAAACGTGATACCTGCCTTCGTCGCATCTTCTCATGCCTCCCCAGCCGTTGCGTGACTTTGCAACAAAGGTAGGATAGTCGGAGGGACACGAATCGGAAGTGCCGTCTGTGCAATCGGGGGCATCGCTGTACCACTTGCAGCCCGAGTATGACGATGTCGACTCTGTTGTGGTGCAGCAGGCTGACTGGTAGCCCCAGCTACAGCCTGCCATGGTGCTGCCGACTTCGACCTCACCATCGCTGCAACCATTCTGGCATTGGCCGCTGTTATGAAAACCTCGCCACCGACATGTGGGCAATTCGGTCGATGTGGGGCAGCAGAGAACCTGCATCTCGTCGTCGAAACAGTAACTGGAGTCCAGCATGATCTGAGACTTCTTGTCATCGCGTATGATCTGACTGAAGCCGCTAGGACAAGATTCTCCGCAGTTCATCCATCGACACATCGAATCCAGGGGGTCCGATGAAGAGCCAGAAGACGTTTCAGCGATCGTGAGAGTGACTCCAGTTTCGGTATCGACATTCAGCTCATTGCCCAATGCAGCTGCCAAGCCGTATGAAAAGGTTCCGTTGTTGTCGTCGTAGTCAACAGCCCAGACCAGGACGCCACCTAGGCACTGCGATTTGGCAAAGTCACCCTTTAGCTTGAATGTGTCCTCGTCATCGTACGAAACCCATTGGTTGTCCCAGGTAAGGACCTTGACGGCGGCGTCGCTATAGAATGTTGGTGTAAGATCATTCTCGCTCATGATGGTCTGGATCTCGCTGTTGAGAAGGATACCTGCCTGTGCGCTGCAGTCTCCCGCGTCGCCGGCTGAAAGGTAATCGCAGCCGGGTTCGACGCAACTAGTGGATGCCACGGTGAAACTACGTCCATAGAAGGCGAGGCCGAGAGTGATCTTGTTCGATGGTATATCGTTACGCCAGATTAGATCAAGCGCGTCTTCAATCTCAGTGAGGTTCGTATGGGAGTCCAAATAAGCGCCAGTCCATTCGTTACCAATATCCCAGGCACCATGTAAGTCATAGCTCATGTAATTGAACCAGTCTACGGATGGCTCGATGGCAGCCAGGTCAAAGTGCTTCAAGTACCAGTAGCTAGTGGGCAGAGTGACGGATATTCCGAAGCCATAGGACGACATCGCAGACTTGAGATTGGCAAGGAATACCGGAAAGTTGGCGTAATCCTCGTCTCGCCCGTTTCGGTCGTCGGCCGCCGGATACTCCCAGTCGATATCAACTCCTGTGAAGCCATAGCTCATTAAGAGAAGAGCTAGACTGGAAAAGAAGACGTTTTGATAAGTTATGTCCGCTGCCGCTAGATCCGACCAGGTCGTGGCCGTTGCGAAGTCGTCGTCTGAAAAGTCCCAACCGCCAATCGACAACCACAGCTCTATACCTAGTTCACGATACTGGAGAGCTTGCAGTTTCGTGAGTGTTTCGAGATCACTTTCAACCGCTGGAACAGCCTCGAACGTGTCTGGATCAATGCTGGCGAAGGCAAAATAAATATGAGAGTATACACCTTGAGGAATCGAAAGGGGCAGCATGCCATCACAAAGTCGAGTTAAAGCTCCGGATCCGTAGTAGCCAATAACGCGAGTGATAGACTGTAAATCAACGTCGCAAGAAGGACGAGTGACTGTGTCATTGCCGCAGAACTCCTCAGTTGTCCCACAAAAGCCATACTAGACCGTTTATTAGTCTAAACCATGACCTAGATAGTGATTATAGGAAGAGCAAAGAAAGACGAGCGAGGCATGGGAAAGTACGAATAAAGGAGAATATGGAAAACGACGAGAGAAAAGAGAGTGAACTCACTTCTGAACAACAAACGTTTAGTGGACATGTCGTACTGCTCACATAATTCGATCCCCAGTTGTCAGGGTCACAATCAGCCTTGGCATCGCAGTTGTTAATGCAGTTGTCAGCGCCGCAGTAATCCGGGCCCATGCCACAGACGCCCCAGGTACCACAGCATCCTATCTCACATGCCACTGTGGCGCTGCATTCCGTATCGGCACTCGCTGTACCGAGCAGCCCACTGATGGCGAAGGCCAAGAGCAAACGAGGCAGCTTGAACATGCTGTCTGAGGTCGCGAGCAACCAAGTACCTTGTGACTGTGGTGAGCAGTTAAGGAAATACTGAAAATATGAAAAGGCTCATGGTATGTGAGGACGTTGGCGAGATACTGCTTGTAGTGTTATATACTTGTTGTACGGTCAATTGAGGGTACATATCAGACTGTGTATACGATTCCAGCCGCGCCATTGTCAAGGTCCCCGTGAAAGACGAAAGCTAGAGCAATCCACTGTGGATTGCACCTTTGTAAAGCTCTGAATCCGGCGGCGTCGGGTAATACTGAAGAGGGCATCCATCTCTGGCAGCCTGCAGTATAGGTCAGATTTACCGTCCCTCGCTAAAACGCATCCGGGCTGTGCGGACCGTTGCAGGATGACGCGGTCTGCCATTGAAGAGACCGGGGTTCCAGACAAAGATGAGGACCCCGAGGACCCTGGCTCAGCCAAGAGGACCCTGATTTGGCCAATTACCAGGTCGAGGCTCTGAGAGTTGGTGCGAAAACGTACGAACCAGGCTTGCTAGGCCAAGGACAGACATATTGGCCGGCGGCACAGCACTTAGCGGGCCGAGACAATATGAGCAGCTCCATTATTATGCGCTAAAACAAGAAGAAAACAGACGCTATCGATGTAAGCTAAACCTAGTCCTATGGGGACTACATGGCAAGCTTCTTACCTAGATGTGAGTATTGTTGGTGGATAACTCAGAGCCGGTAGAAGCACTGCGCTACACAAAAAGATCCCGCCCATGCCCAAACCGTGACCAGGGGACAAACTGTATCATATTACAGATGCGTCGACATTCAGTTGCGAATAGTCCCCACCTAGAAACTCATTTGATCATGGTGGGCCAGGCGCTAGCCGAGGATGAAGCGATGTCAAGTCCTACCAACGGGGTTTCCCATTCATCTATAGAGACGGCTCTTGTCATTCGCGGAGTAAACATTCAGGTATTTATCTGCTTGGTCGACTCCCATCACTGGTGATGCGATGGCCAGTCGTGTACTCTCGCAACACCTAGCTCAATATTGAACAGAACAGCAACGTCACTTTGCTCATGTGGGGACTACCCGATAAGATTGGCTGCCGTCGACTCGCCCACTGCTGCATTTGAGGAGCTACTGATGCTTTGGCGGATTCTCAGGCCTGTCAACGGGGCCCTCCCCAGAACCCTGGAGAAACATGACAAACTTGTCGCAAGAAAAGAAAAACCTACTGCCCTGAAATTAGGGTTCGTCGGACAATTCCGCCGGAATGGATGGATCGTTCACCATCCAATTTGCCAATTCTATACCATATAATTGCAAGTAACTACTTTCTGACTAGACTTGGGACTAATGCCAGGAACCATTTCATGCTCCGCCCTACGAAGTACCATACATGAGCCCAGCAACAGCTAACTAACAAGTTTCCTATCATGCTTATTTGTAGCGGCCTCCACCCAAAGTCAAGTATCATATCATGCTCGTGGGGATTACCAAAAACATCTCACGGCGATATGTGATCCAGAAGCAAAACTCTGCTGAGTTGGTCCTCTCCAAGACCGTCTAATCTGCAATGATTACGCGTCCACGCTGGGAGTTAATGAGCTCGGCTCGATTCACAACATCGACCACTCTAGATGCCGGACATGTGTCCGCAAAAAAACCACGGACTTGGGAAAGCGGCCTGTCTCTGCACCTTATGCTTGTGACCGAGTTATCTCTATCGCCCTTCCCCATTCATCCCTCTACTCCTTCAAGAAAGGGCAGATGAGCGGGTATATGGGTAGCAATATCTGCGGCTGCGTATCCCGCCGCACACTCTTACCTTTGTGTCTCTTCTTGGATCTGCAGGCTCGAGACTCTTTACAAAAATGGCTACGACTTGGTGCCTACTTCCTCCCGCAGCTCTACGCAGGGCCCGTCTACTCATGGCAGTGACGTTGTTGTCCTTGCTCTCGCATGTTTCTGGCCGCCAGTTGGAGCATCGGGATGCTGGATTACATCGTGGGCTCTTTTCGGCTGCTCAGCAGCACAAGAGAGATGTCACGGGTTGGTCGATATTCTCCAATGGTTCACTCTCAACAGTTGGCCTCGACGCTGCTTGCGAGAGTGCCATGTACCAGACCATTGCCTGTGACGGGGCTGCTTCCATCCTGATGACAGAATCAACCGTGAACTCCACACGGACTGAGCTTGTTTGCACCGCGGATTGCGAGACCTCCATCGCGAATATGGCTAGCACGGTTGCGGAGGCTTGTGTGAACACGCCAAACCTGGCTACCGGTCTACCGCTATTTGGCTTTGTCGACACAATCTGGAGCAACTGGAACCAATCATGCTTCACGGACCCGGAGACTGGAGATAACTGCAACGGTAAGACGATTAACAATGTTTCGCCTCTTGAGCCGATACTGATACCATACTGGTGTAGATTTCCTGGCTGCTCTTCCCAGCGTAGCTGATGTCTCGAATTATTCAGAATCAGATCTGTGTTCGTATTGTTACACCGAGAAGCTGGCTCTGATGCAAGCCTCGGCGTACTCGGATACCTACAACGATGACTCCCAGACCGTGTATGAATACGTAGCCGGCGTCTGCAATCTGACCGTTACGGACTTCAATGCAACCGAGAGCGTCTTTCAGCCCAACATAACCGCCACGAGCACAAACTGTGTGTCTGGCAACACGTATACCACACAGGCTGGCGATACGTGCGACTCGATCGCGATCGCAAACAGCGTCTCGGCAGCGACCATGTACTACACCAATCCGAACATTTTAAACTGCTCCTCCATTTTCGAGGGCACAAGTCTTTGCCTGCCGGCTACTTGCGATAATGTCTACTCGGTTGTGGATGACGATACGTGTCTCAACATCGCCGTGCATGCCGGCACCATCACCTCCAAGATCATTACTTGGAATTCGCAGCTCAACTGGAACTGCAGCAACCTTCAGGACCCCAACCCCTATTGGGGCTCTACCCTGTGCGTTTCCAGTCCTGGGGGCAACTACACGGGTACAGCTGCCTCGAACAGCACAGACTTTGAAGCCACGGTGACGGCTGTCGACCCGCCATCGGGCGCTACCGTCGCCGACGGCACTACGTTGGAGTGTCTTGAGTGGTATACGTATGACGCCAGCCTGACATGCGTCAAGGTTATGCTCACGTATGGAATCTCTGTCAACCTGTTCGTAGAGGCCAACCCGTCCGTAGGACTGTCCACCTGCGACGACGATCTCGTGGTAGGAGATGCCTATTGTGTGGAGCCGATGGATAATTTTAACCAAACCAGTACTTCGACGACGTCCACTGCCGCCGCGTCAACGGTGACAGCGCCCGGACCGACGCTGACCGGAACGGCCAGCAACTGCAATGCCTACTACGTTGTTGAAAGTGAGTAACACATGATGGCCAAACACATGTTCTCGTCCACTAACTGTATGCTTTCCAAGGCGGCAATACCTGTTCCGGCATTGAAGAGCAGTACGGCATCACGGATGAAGAGTTCCACGAATGGAACCCGGCCATATCGTCAGACTGCCTGACCAACTTCTGGGTCGGCGAAGCCTATTGCGTAGGCGTTGCGAGCAGCAGCAGCAGCAGTGCAACCGCCACGACCACGACCAGCTCGACCGCATCGGCAGTGACGACTCCTGGCCCGACTATGAGCGGTACCGCCGCAGACTGTAATTTGTATCACGTCGTGCAATGTAAGAACCTTTCCGATCCCTAACTGCGGACAGTACGTAGGGCCGCTAACACAGCTTGCAACAGCGGGGGATACCTGCAGCAGCATCGAGACTGCATATGGCATCACATCGGATGAGTTCCTCGAGTGGAATCCGGCCATTTCATCTGACTGCTCAAGCAACTTCTGGATTGACGAAGCCTACTGCGTTGGCGTTACGAGCAGCAGCAGCAGCGTAACCGCCACGGCCACGATCAGCTCGACTGCGTCGGTAGTGACGGCCCCAGGCCCAACTTTGAGCGGTACTGCTTCCAACTGCAATGCCTACTATGTCGTTCAGAGTAAGTCGATTTCTTTTGCCCGGCCGGTCGATACGTGAGATTCCTGCTAATCGGTGCGATCACTTGCGCAGGCGGCGATAGCTGTTACAGTGTTGAGACGGCGTACGGCATTTCCGCTGACGAGTTCTTCGAGTGGAACCCGTCCGTGTCCTTCGACTGCTCGACCAACTTCTGGGCAGATGAGGCGTACTGTGTCGGAGTTTCGTCGTAATGGACATGTACGGGTGGTAACGGTGCTCTTGCATATCCACTCAGTTCGAGCTCAATATGAAACTCCACTCTAGGAGCACTTTGGAGATTCGAATATGAATTTAATTAGTTAGTGGTAATTGGTTGGTATCGTAAAGGCCTTTAGCGATCGGCGAAACACTTACTTACGTCTTAGCATTGCTCTTGTCCTTGGGCATGTGTTAGTACTTTCATTGGAAATTTTCACTATTAACTCTCTTATTATTCGTTAGTTAAGGTTTTGTCTCTACTTATAATAAAAGTAAATACGTAAAGTAATAAGTGTGTTCATTAGTTACGAGAGACTTCGCGAGGAATATTTAAGATACTTTAATATGCTTTTTATACTTAGCTTATTATGAGTAAATGCCTTTTTTATACGCTAAAATGTTTCGAATCATTATAAGCGATTAAGGATTAAGTTATTCCACGGACTTTTACGATAATATACATTTCATCGTTTCGTATTATTAGTTATAACAAATTCTATAATTAATATAAAGGATTATTATAATAAAGGTCTAATGTAATATATTAAAAGGAAGAGCTTAAATTTATTAAAGTATAAGATAACGAATATAGTGTTTACTTAAGTATAAAATTATAAGTGTAACGCTTTAAACGTAAATTAATAATATAAGTAACGTAGTTTATAAGCGAGCTGGCCACTTAAGGAAGCTAGCCACGCTAATTAGCATAATACGCAATTTAACTGAATTTCGTAATTATAACGCCGTAAATCAATTAAAACTACTCTGAATACTCTTGCCTAGATAATTCTATTTCAATTTAACAAGTTCTTACGTTATACCCGGGCTTCCCGCATACTCTATAGCGTCGTTAGCGCGCCGGTCCCCGACCCGAACCATTACCGTTTTCACGTATTTCTTATTATACTTGCTATATAACGTCTTTTTAGTCTTGTAAATCTTCTATATCTTATATATTAAGTGATCCTCTAAGCCGAATACGTGTTTTTTTAGCCTTACGTCGCTTATTAATAACCGTATTTACCTCTCGTAGTTTAGTTACCTCGGCTTAAAAGAGGGCCATCCGGTGTATAATCCCATGCGCTCCTTTCGCGAATTAGTCGATGGCTTCGTAAATTGAGGTTAGAAAGCTATTTTAATGGTTGGCGATCCGAGATTTAATAAATTTAGATTGTAAAGTAGCCTCGATTAAGTTGTTCGGTATCCTCGAAGCCTAAGGTCGGGTTTCTCGCGTAAGGGGCCGAGAGGACGTTAGCGTTTATAATTTCACATCTAGCTTCGATATTATTACTTCCGGGCTTAGAGGGATAAGTTTAACTCCCTCGAAGCCTGCGCGGATATTACTTTCGGTTATACTCTTCTCGAATACTTCGTAAAACGCCGGGAGGAAGTCCTCTTTCGTAATATAAGAAATCCGGGCTCGGATAAGACGTTTAATTTACGCGCCGTACGCTTTTTTAAGAGGTATAAAACATGCTATATCTAATGGTTAAAGGATATAAGATAAATAAGCAAGTATATAAAGTATAAGAATGTTATTCTCTTTATAATATTATTCGAAAGCATCCGAATAATGGCTTTCGTAGCCGTTAAAGATTAAAAGCCGGTATATACTTAATTTCCGGCTTTTTATATACGCGTTAAAGTGTTTTAGTTAATTTATAGTTAGTTTATTAATAGTTTAATTATTCAGGCTAATAACGACCTTTTAATTCTTCGGCATTAAGCTATTTTCGTACTAAGATAAGAGGTAGTATTTGCCTTTAACGATAATATACGGTAAAACTGTCTAGCCTTACGAATTAACGCCTTAAATAACCGTAGCTTATTCCCGATTATTAGGCTAGGCTAGCTTAGGTTTGCCTTTCTTTTCGGAGTTAATAACAATTATCGATAAGGTGATTTATCTTATTATAAACCTAGTCTTATCGAAGTTATAAATATCCGTATTTATAACCCCGTATTTCGCGATTATATTACGTACGAGGTCGAACCAACCTTAAATAAGTTCTAGATCTTCGTATAAAGCCCTAGAATAATCGTACTTACGACTAAATACCGTTTTAAGTTATAGTTATCGCTTAACGAAGTTAAAGGCCTAGTTCTTCCCAACGCGTAACGCGTCGCGGTCGCGTAGTAATCGATTCGTTATATCTTTTATAACGCTTAACCGGGGAGGGAATGCTTAGGAATCTAGCTTAATTATCCTTTTAATAATCGTATCCTCTTCTAGTTTTATAAGAATTTGATTTTTAAGTCGGGTATCGCGTCGAGGTTAAATACCGCGTATTCGCGTTATAAGCATTAAACGAGGGATTATATATATCATTACGACGCGTTATACGCTTAATGTTAAATCTTTTTTAATAACTTAAATAATAAGGATTAATTAAGCTTCTTTATTAATTAAAGTTATTTAGAAATAATAATGAAAATAAAAGTAAAAGGTTAAATTATATGTTATATTAATTAACGTGGCTAGCTTCCTTAAGTGGCTAGCTCGCTTATAAACTACGTTATTATTAAGTAATATATAAAAGTCTAAGGGTATAAAGAGAATATCGGTGTATAAAAAGTGGGTATATATTTATTAGCTTAGTTATATAATTATTACTTTTTAAGTTTAATAATTTATAAGCTCGTAGTCTTAGTGTATAAAGTGCTCTTTATACATTATAAACGTTTATAGTTATTTATATTATTATATACCTTTAAAATTAAATTAACTTTAATTTAGCTTCTTTAGCCGTTAAGTAACTAATATAATAACTATAGTTATTTTTTATAACCGTTTAAATTATAATGTTCTCTAAGTACGGGTTTTTATTTATATATTTTTACTTAAGTAATTATAGTTATTATTAAAACGATATAAGTCTTTCGTTTCTTTAATAATTAACTGTTTATTTATATATTATTAAGTATAAAGTAATAAAGTTAATTAAACTAATAAGTAAGTTAATATACTCTTCGAATACGTCGTTATTTATTATAATGCTTTTATAAATATAACGGTTAATACACTTTATAATCGCTTTACTTTTATTTATTTTATAAAACGAGTAACGTAGTTCACAAGCGAGCTAGCCACCCAAGGAAGCTAGCCACGCTAATTAGCACAATACGCAATTTAACTAAATTTCGCAACCATAACGCCGTAAATTAATTAAAACTACTCTGAATACTCTTGCCCAAATGATTCTATTTCAATCTAACAGGTTCTTGCGTTATGCCCGGGCTTCCCGCACACTCCACAGCGTCGTTGGCGCGCCGGTCCCCGACCCGAACCATTACCGTTTTCACGTATTTCTTGTTATACTTGCTATATAACGTCTTTTTGGTCCTGTAGATCTTTTACATCTTGTATATTAAGTAATCCTCTAAGCCGAATACGTGTTTTTTTAGCCCTACGTCGCTTACTAATAACTGTATTTGCCTCTCGTAGTTCAGTCACCTCGGCTTAGAAGAAGGCCATCCGGTACATAATCCCATGCGCTCCTTTCGCGAATTAGTCGATAGCTTCGTAAATTGAGGTTAGAGAGCTATTTTAATGGTTGGCGATCCGAGATTTAATAAATTCAGATTATGAAGTAGCCTCGATTAGGTTATTCGGTGTCCTCGAAGCCCAAGGTCGGGTTTCTCGCGTAGGGGGCCGAGAGGACGTTAGCGTTTGTAATTTCACATCCAGCTTCGATATCACTACTTCCGGGCTTAGAGGGATAAGTCAAGCTCCCTCGAAGCCTGCGCGGATATTGCTTTCGGTTATACTCTTCTCGAATGCTTCGCAAAACGCCGGGAGGAAGTCCTCTTTCGTAATATAGGAAATCCGGGCTCGGATAAGACGTTCAATTTGCGCGCCGTACGCTTTCTTAAGAGGTGCAAAACATGCCACATCTAATGGCTGAAGGATATGGGATAAATGGGCAGGCATACAGAGTATAAGAATGTTATTCTCTTTATAATACTGTTCGAAAGCATCCGAATGGTGGCTCTCGTGGCCGTCAAGGATTAAAAGCCGGTATACACCTGATTTCCGGCTTTTTATATACGCGTCAAAGTGTTTTAGCCAATCTACAGTTAGTTCATTAGTAGTCCAACCATTCGGGCTATCAGCGACCTTCTAATTCTTCGGCATTAAGCTGTTTTCGTACCAAGATAAGAGGTGGTATTTGCCTTTAACGATGATATACGGCGGGACCGTCCAGCCTTGCGAATTGACGCCTTGGATAACCGTAGCCCATTCCCGATTACCAGGCTGGGCTAGCTTAGGTTTGCCTTTCCTTTCGGAGCTAGTAACGACCATCGATGGGGTAATTTGTCCTATCATAAACCCGGTCTCATCGAAGTTGTAAATATCCGTATTTACAACCCCGTATTTCGCGATTGTATTACGTACGAGGTCGAACCAACCTTGGATAAGTTCTAGATCTTCGCATAAAGCCCTAGAATAGTCGTACTTGCGACTAAATACCGTTTTGAGTTATGGTTGTCGCTTGACGAAGTTAGAGGCCCAGTTCTTCCCGACGCGTGACGCGTCGCGGTCGCGTAGTAATCGATTCGCCATATCTTCCACAGCGCTTAACCGGGGAGGGAATGCTTGGGAATCTAGCTTAATTATCCTTTTAATAATCGTATCCTCTTCTAGTTTTGTAAGAATTTGATTTTTAGGTCGGGTATCGCGTCGAGGTTGAATACCGCGTATTCGCGTTATAAGCGTTAAACGAGGGACTGTATATATCGCTGCGACGCGCCGTACGCTTAATGTTGGATCTTTTTCAATAGCCTGAATGGCAAGGATTAATTGAGCTTCTTTATTAATTGAAGTCATTTGGAAGTAGTGATGAAAATGGAGGTAAAAGGTTGAATTATATGTTATGCTAATTAGCGTGGCCAGCTTCCTTAGGTGGCCAGCTCGCTTATGAACTACGTTATATTAAACTAAGACCACTGTTTTATCCTTTAAGTTATAAGCTTTATTATAACGATTATATTA